TCTGAGCTACCCGTCTACCCATGAAGAGGTGCTGTCTGGAGACCAGCATCTATCCTGGGGGAGGTATTAATTAAAGCAGGTATAAGATGTTTGTAAAGAATTCAGAGCAGTGTCCAGCATACAGTCAACATGTGATAGGTTTTTGCAGGAAGTAAGTGCTTCCCTGTAGTTTGAGGTAGCGGCACCACACCAGGTGCAAAATGATACACACAGATGAGGACTCGCCACTGAAGACATGGCTGCGTATTGGTCACTACATGATTTGACAATTCTTCATAAGCCAGGGCAGTCTGGAATTCTGGGTTGCTCTATCACACATCAAACTTTTACATACTTACTCTTCTGTTTTAACTCTACCTAATTCCTTATAAAAAGTCAAGAAGAGATAACAATCCTAAATACATATGAACCAAACATAGGTGCACACAACTATATAAAACAAATACTAAAGGACATGAATAATCAAAAAAGCACTAACATAATTGGAATTGAGTAATTTAATACCCCACTGTCACAAATAGATATACAAGATTTAAAAAAATTAACAAAGAAATGTAACTGAACCAAACTTTTTTTTTTTGTCTTTTTGTGACAGGATTTTGCTATGCAGCTCAGGCTTCCCTTGAGCTCACTTTGTAGCCCAGGCTGGTCTCAAACTCGAAATGATCCTCCTGCCTCAGCCTCCTGAGTGTTGGGATTACAGGCATGTGCTACCACACCCTGAACCAAACTTTTAAACAAATTTAGTAGATGTCTACAGAGTGTTTCACCTTATAACATGAACACACATTCTTCTCAGCAGTGCATGGAACATTCTTCAGAATACCACATACTACCCATAGAACATGCTTAAGTAAATGCAAAGGAGTTTAAATTATCCCATAAATATTTTCTGACCATAGTGCAATGAAGTTGGAAATCAATGGCAAAAGATACCACATGAACTCCATAAAAACATAGAAATTAAATAATACCCTACTGAATAAGCAGTGGGTCACAGACAAAACTAAAGAGGAATTTAAACAGTATTGACAATTAAATGGTAATGTTGATACAACATACTGGAACTTTAGGTATGCAATGAAAAAAGTCCTAAGTGCAAAATTTCTAGTGGTCAATTCTCACATCAGGAAAACAGAATAAGCTCAAATAAACTACCTAAAGTTGACTTCAAACTTCTAGAAAAAGAAGAAAAATTCAAGCCCAAAGCTTATACAAGGGAGGAAATTATAAAGAGCAGCAATTAGCAGAATTGAGACTAAGGAGACAAGACAAAATATAAATGAATCGAAGAGTTGGTTCTTTAAAAGATTGAAAAGCCCTTAGTCAATCATATAAAAAAGTAAAGAATGATATTCAAGCAATTAGAAATGAAAAGGGTGAAATCACAACAGACCCTTTGGAAATCCAGAAGATCATCAATACCTACTTAAAGAATCTTTACTCTAGTAAGATGAAACACATGGAAGAAATAGATTCCTAGGTACATGGGAATTACCAAAGTTGAATCGAGATGAGATAAAAAATTATAAATAGCTCAACAGCAGTCAAAGAAATTCAATCTGCAATTAAAAACTTACCAACAAAGAAAAATTCAAGTTCCCAAGTATTCACTGCTGAAGTTTACAAGAAATTTAGAGGGGTTCTAATGCCATAATTCCTCAAGTGCTTTTATTTAGTCAAATGGGAAGCAATACTCCAAAGCATTTCTGGAAGTCAGGATTACCCTGATACCCAAAAGAGAGAAAATCCAAACAAAAGAGAACTACAGGCCAATCTCCCTAATCAATCCAGACACAAAAATCCTCCATAAGATATTGGCAAACAGAATGCAGTAAATCATCAATATAATGCACCACGACCAAGTAGGATCCATCACAGGGATGCAGGTATGGTTCAACACATTAAAGGAATAAATGTAAATACACCATATTTAACAAAGCCAAGATATAAAGTATATGATTATCTCAAGAGATGCAGAAAAATTCTTTGACAAAGTCTAACACACATTTATAATAAAAACTCTGCAGAAAATTGGAATAAATGGTCTTTATTTGAACCTGATAAAAGCCATTTGTGACAAACCCTTAACCTCTGTCTTATGAAATGACTACATACTGAATGGTTTTACTCTATTTTCTATTTTATTTATTTATTTATTTATTATTATTATTATTATTTTTTGATACTGGGTCTCACTATGCACTTCAGACTTGTAGTGATCCTCCTGTCTTGGCTTTCCTAGTGCTGGGATTACAGGTGTGCACCACCATATTCAGTTCTGGGACCCACACAGTGTGCCTTGAGTTTCAGAGCCAGTTAAGTATGCAGTACTGGGTATTGAACTTGGGACCTTGTACTTGCTAGGCAGGTGTTTATGCTGCCAAGCTATCTCTCCAGCCTGAAGGTTTTACTCTAAAATCAGAAACTAGACACTATCACTGCTTTTATTTACAGTAATTGGGAAACACTAGACAGAACAGTTAGATAAGAGAAAGAAATAAAAGGAATATAGATAGATAGCAAAGGAAGAAATTAAATTATCATTATTTGCAGATGACATGATACTCTACATAGAAGTCCCCAAAAACTCCACCAAAAGATTTCTAAGTTTAATAATTAGATTTAGCTGCATAGCTGGATATAAAGTTAATACTAAAAAAATGGTATCCCTATACACAAATAACAAACTCAATGAGAGAGAAATTAGGAAAATTACAATACTCTGAATAAAAGATTGAAGAGGATATCAGAAAATGGAAAACCAACATAGTAGAAATGGCAGTACCTCCAAAACTGTTATACAGATTTAATGCAATACTAATCAAAGTACCATTATATATATCACAGAACTACAGAAAACTCCTAAAATTCATTTGGAACTAGAAGAGACCTAGAATACTAAAAAACAATTCTCTGCATCAAAGGCAAGGCAGGGGGTGTTACAATTCCTGATTTGAAATTACACTACAAAACTACTGTGATAAAAACAGAATGGTACTGGCAAAAACAGACCCAATGATCAATGGAACAGATTAGAAGATGTAGAAACTACTCCAAACACACTTAGCTACCTAATCTTTGACAAAGGGGTCAAACACATTCACTGGAAGAAAGATAGCTTCTTTAATAAGTAGTGATAGAAAAATTGGCTTTCATATGCCTAACACTAAAAGTAGAACCAAGTCTCTTGCCATGCACTAAGATAAATCAAAATGGATCAAAGATCCATTAAAACAGAAGCACTAAATTTGCTGGAGAAAGAATGGGTGGAATTATTGAAGAGGTATAGGCAAAAACTTCATGAACAGAACCTCAATGGCAAGGGAAATACTAAAAATAGTAAACAACTGGGTTCTCATCTTATTAAAAGCTTTTGCATAGCAAAAGAAATCACCAACAGAGTGAAAAGACAACCCAAAAAATAGGGGAAAAAATATTAGCCAGTTGTTTTCAGATAAAGGACTAATATGTAAAATATTAAAAAAAATCAGACTCCACAAATTTAAAGACCTAACCTAAAAATGAGTATCTGAAATGAACAGACACATCTCAGATAAAGAAGTACAAGTGGCAGATAAATACATGAAAAAATGTTCCACATAACTGATCATCCAAGAGATGCACAATGCTGAGATTCCATCTCACTCCAGAATGAATGGCTATTATCAAGAAATCAACCAATAACAGATGCTGGAGGAGCTGTGGGAAGAAAGGAACTTTTCTCCACTGTTCGTTAGAGTGGAAATCAGTGTGGCGATTCTTAAAAGAACTAGGACTGGAGGTCGCATTTGAGCCAGCCATTTCCCTTCCTGGTGTCTTTTGAGAAGAATTAAAAGCTTCACAACATAGCGATATATGTGCACCTATGTTTACAGAAGCACGTTTTGTCATAGCTAAATCTTGGAAACAACCCAAATGCCCATCAACGTAGGAACGGATGAAAAAATGTGGTGTTTTTTTATATACAATTGCTACTATTCAGCCATAAAGAAGGATAAACTTGAGACATTTATAGCTAAATGGATGGATTTTGAAACCCTACTCTTAAGTGGAATAAATTGGACTCACAGGTGTAAATATTGCATTGTTTCTCTGGTGTGAGAAACAATTATAAATAGGAATCAGAATATATAACACATGTTGTGAAACACATGTTGTGAAACAGGAAAAAATGGTTCAAAAGGCAAGGGGATCCAGGGGTGGGGGAAAGAAGAGAAAAGAGAAAAATGAGAAAAAAGGATAGAATTGAAACAAAGCTTGTAAATAAGTAGTAGAAGGGAGGCTGAAGGGAGGGGAAAGGAATTTGAAAAAAAGGAACTAAGATATATTACGTACAGGTACAACTTCCCTATGATGCATATGATAATTATGCATATCTAAATTATACTGCTAAAGTTAATTAAAAATTATAGGGAAAAGTTCATAAAAAAATAAAAATACAACCATAACCTGAAAATAAAGAAGGATACTGTCTTTATAGAGCAAATACAGAATATAAGATGCTCTCTAGATAACATACTCAAGGCATTGTTAAAAGCTTGAGTTTTTAACGTATAAAAATCAGCCTGAAATATAAAAATGGAGCATGATTCAAATGAACACGTAACACAATGAATACTGAGAGCATTTTTTTTTTAAATGTGGAGGATAACATCCAGAGAAAGGTGCCCTCCCACTGAGCTACCTACAGCCCCAGCCCCAAGAAGTCATTCTTCAACATTTAATTCTTCACAAAACTGTATTGATTTTAATTTGCTTCCATTTCTATTTTCCAGAAACTTTATATATTATCTTGGCATAAATGTCATAGAAATGATAAAATGTCTCTTGACTGCTTAAAAACACATGCAAACTCAAAGCACTATATCTAATGCTACCTTTAAGGAAATAACAGTACAAATGAAATTACTTTTCCTTAAAAAAATTCTGTTATCACAATTTATAAAGCAAGTAGTACACATTCTTTGCAACATGTAGGCAGCTTTTTTACTTCTTACCTTCTCGATTTTTTCATCCAGCATTCTGAAGAATTCTTGTTGGCTTTCAGAGATGTGCATGCTGAAAAACAAAGAGTAATTAAGTGCGTATTCCAAAGCTTCCTTAATTCCAACCCCCTCAAATGAAACATGGTGAGCCCATAAACTCTGGGGCATTTAATTTTTTTGCATATTTTGCCACTGAAATACTCTTAAGATTATGTTAGAGTTATATGCCATTACAGAAACCCTGAAGTGTGTCTCCTAACAGTCTACAGTGCCTATGATTCAATAATACAATTTCCTTTCAGCGTACAGATGTTATTTATAGTAATGTTAACTAGGAGGTATATGCCAAATGTTTCCTCCATGACACATTCATGATTTAAAAAGAAACAGCAAGGGCAAGCAGCACATGGCATATTTCAGCTCTGTGCAGTGTAAAAGAAAATTTATCCTGCTTCTACTGAAACGTGTATTTTATAGAGGTTGCCAGTATCAGCATGACATCCAGCTGACGCATAGGTGTGGGATGGACACCAGCAAGCTGAGGACAGAGGATTCCTTGACAGGGTCCCTAGCCACTTTCTACACTGGTGACAGCAAATGTACGCTTAGGGCTGAAATTCCACAGGAATGTGTGAACTAGTCAGAGGGCATGTCTGAGTGGTGCTTGTCCTGTATGCTTGCTTTTCCTATGCCATTTATCAGCCTGCTCAGCAGGATGTTGACGTGGTTGGTGGGTACAGCACAAGAGCAGACACGGTGAGAAAAGGCTATCACAGGTGACAAGGGTGTGGTGTTATGGGCCTCAGTGGTAAGGTGTCTTTTGTTTCTACTAAGCAAAGAGTTGTAGGTGTAGCATGGAGATTAAGGGTGCTGGGTAAGAGACACATGCACCATGTTTCTTTCTGTTCCTACTAGTGCCTATTGATTGTAGTGTCTGGTGTGTGGGGGGTGGGGAGTAAGTTCTAGAATAATTTCTTTCCTTCTAGCTAAGTGTAGGGAGAAGCTTTACTAATGTGTCTGTTAGCATACAATGCCTCATACATTAGGGGCCATAAGAAGTGGCATAAGTGACCCCAAGCCCTTCAAGATTCCCCTGACAGGTGGCAGGGCTGGGAAGGAACATTCTCCTTTGATTTTAAACCAAGATTTAAAGTCTGTGAGCACATGATATCAACTTTGTTCTAAGGAAAACAATGTAAATATCTGACACCATTAATCATTTCACAGTTTACAAATTACTTTCACACATCATTTAATTTTGCTATCCTTTATATACCAGTTCAAATAAGGTAAATGTTTTGTTTGGGAAAGGGTGTGTTTCTTATGCAGGTTGAGAGGAAGAGTAGAATCTAGGGGGAGGATTTATTAAACAATCTTTCTCTATAGAATTCTGGTCAGTAAAGTCATTTTGTATATGGAATTCTCCCAGATTCCTCATTGTTTTCCTTGCTGAAGTACCAAAACAGCAAGCCACTTTGGATGCCAACCTTTCTGAATTATATATACTTTGAATAGAGGCATTGCTGCAAACAATTCTTAATTTTTGCTTATCCACCCTCTTCTCAAATCCTAATGCTCTCTGCAACACAGTGCTACCCAGAGACACGAGCATGGATGGGGAGGGCTCTCTGATGGCAAAATGGGCTGGAACCCGTTCACTCAGCCTGCTTTGAGGTTCTTCTCATGTCCCTTCTTCTCAGAGCAGCATTAGTCCTCCAGCTTTCCCTGCAGCTGCTGCTTCTGCTCCATGCTCAGAAGTGTACAGCCAGGTCTGTCTGCTGCACCTGAAGTTCAGGTAATGGGATTTGAGAGGAGCTGGGGGCTTCCCTAGGAGTCAGAACATGAATCTTTCAGTCTCTCTGTTGGTCGTCCAGATTCCTGTTGGGCATCCTTCCTATTTTTAGCCAAGCTCTCAAGAAATGAGGTTGTTGGACAAGTATAGGTCCCAGATAGGAAAGACATTAAGATATGTTATCAGGGAGTGATTTTAGGGTCTTGTACATATTAGCCAAGCACTGTACCTCTGAGCTACATCCCTTTGTGAGACAGGGTTTCAGTTAATAACGTTGCCCAGGATAGATTTGAAGCTGTAATCCTCCTGCCTCAGCCCACCCTAGTAGCTATGATTACAGAGGTGTACCACTGCATCTAGAAAAATATAGGTACAGTACCTTGTTACAGATAACTAGACAGATACATAACTATGTGCAAATGTAGTTTCCCTAGGAAATTTCACAAAAAAATGGCATTTTAGGTCTTTGTGTTCATGGTAGAAACTTTCCAGTTGGCGTTCTTAGCATGTATTGCCTTGCACATATTAGGAAGGCAAGAAATATTTGTTAGTTATATGACAAAGTACTCTCTGCATTCCTGTGATTCATGGGTCCTTGCAGAGGCAGCACATGGTAGTGTGGTTGAAGGGCTGAGCCTCATAGTTCTTATCTAACCAGTGAAACTATCTTCTATCGCTCAGAGTCTATGACTGTTACCAACTTTTATTGGCTCCTTTATTTAACGGCCACAATGTGAAAACAGAACTGTTTGATTGGCACTCATGCCTATGTTCATTAGAGGCACAGGGAGAGAGGTCTCCACACTGCAGTTGTGTCTGCCATCTTTGAGGTCACAATGTACTCAGCTGTAGACTCAGGAGTCTGAATTAGGAGCTGGAGAGTGAAGGGGAAAACCTTGAGCCGTAGGACACAAACTCACCCTATACAAGCACAAACTCACAAGAGTTTCAGTTTTGCATTGTCCCACTGACAGGGAAATGCTTACTCTCTTTGTTTGAGACCCTTAGGCTGTACCTGCCTGCCTTTGCCTCTGTTGGTAAGTGACCAGGGAGACTCACACAGACTGGCTCACTCTCTTGCTGTGCTGCACTACAGCACACTCACTGTTAGACAGGATTAACTGAACGGAGGCAGATTTGCTATAAACAAAGCTGTGTGCAGTAGGCTAGCTCTTTCAGACACTCTTCCATCCCTGTGACAGCGGCAGACACGATCAGCGAAGCAATGCCCACGTGGCATCCTAGTTATCTGTATATCTCTGGAATGGTGTAATCTGAAAGCACAAGGCTTACTCTGCTGGGCTCCACAGGCTCATCCAGAAGTAAGAACAGAAATGAACTATCTCAGATCCACTGATTCTTGTTTGCACAAACACTGATCTCTCTCTGCCTGTGAAGAAATCTGTCAATGGAGCAGCATTAATCTAAGTATTTGGCTTAAGAGTACAAAATGCAATGTGAAGAGCAGTCCCAGGGCAACAACTCATTCTTCCAGTTCTTTCTGGGGCTTCACTGCTGATTGTGAGTGGGAAAGAGGAGACAGAGGAAAGCTCATGGACTTCCCTGTCTTCCCTAAAGCCAACAGGCAGGGACTATTAAACTGTGACTCAAGTTTATATAGTATGAACAGTTGGCACTAAGAGTCATTAGGCCTAAAAAGCTTTTATAAATGTTTGTATTGGTACCAATGATTTAATGAATAAAGTTCACCATCTTCAGTAATTACTATTTCTCTCTAATAACTAAAATCCAAGCTTGCCCCTCCTGTGACTCCAGCTAGTTGCTAGGCGCTCACTCTGCACCACCAGAGGCTCTTCCTTCTGGGACCTCTCGGTTTCACAGGACCAGGGATGACAACAATAAGGAATCCTAATCAAAGGAATCAAATTAAGGAATGGTGGGCAAAATGCGCTTCAGAATTAAAAGATAAAATGACTTCCATTTCCAGTGACTTAAATAATAAAAAGTCCCAAATAATAGAAACCCAAGCTGCAAATCTAAAAGAGATAGCATAAAGATAGGAAGGAGAACATTACTAGACAAAGGGAAAGGCCCAAAAGGGAGGGGATGAAAGGGAGAGTGATGGGAAGAGGGATGTGATCAAAACTACATGTACCCATGCATGGACACACCACATTCAGATCCAATAGTTCACAAAATTGTAAGCACTAATAAAATGTATTTTAGATTTTTTTTTTTTTTTTGCAGAACCGGGGATTGAACTCAGATCCTTGCGTTTGCCGGTCAAGCGCTTATCCTACTGAGCCATCTCCCCAGCCCCATAAAATATATTTTAAAAAGTAGTATGATATCAGAAAAAAAGATGAGCTAGATGAGGTTCTAATTCCCTAACACTAGGCCAGGGAGATAGCTCAGTGGCCTAAGTGCCTGCCTGGCAAGTACAAGGTCCTGAGTTTGATCCCCAGTACCAAAAAAAAAAAAAAAAAAAAAATCCCTATAATTCCCTAATACCTTACTCAAAATATGCCACTTTGGCACATTAATTATTCTGAGCCAAAGGCACTTGAAAAACAGTAGGCCAGGGGCCCTCTAATCTCCCCCTTTCAGGAAGGAAATACAGTTCTCATGTGAAAGATGCTCTCTTTATGCCAGGAAAAAGGAAATATTCTTAGCACTGGAGATGGGGAGCCAAAGCCAAGAGAATTCTCTCTCAGACCTTGTTAAAGTCATTATTATCAATGTTTGCTCACCGGCTCCCCTATTTCAGGCATTCTTCCCCAAGTGCCTTTCTTTGTTCAATCTATAATTCAAGCATTCAGTTTTTGCCACTTCCTTGGGTTTCCATTTTCCTTTGGGGACTTTCATATACACATATAAAAACTTTCCATGCTTTTCTCTTGCTAATTTTGTTTTACATAAATTTAATTCTCGGGGACCTGCCCCTTAGCTCAGTTCTTTAAGTGGCTGCTTCCACAAAGCAGTCAGGCTCAGGTTGCTGTGGTTCCATCCCCACAACTCAAGCCAGCCAAACCTGCCCTGAAGGCATTCGGAGCAGTAAATAAATAAATAAATAAATAAATTTAATTCTCAGGACTTGTGGAAACCCTATGAAGAGTGAGGTAAAGTTTTGCCTCTCTTACACCTATAAACAAGAAATTCAGTTATGCAGTAGGTTTCTGGTAACCTTGACCTGACCACAGTTATTTCTTCATTATAGTCATTGTTTTTCAGTGGGAGCTCAGGGAAAGAGACTGATCTTCATTTCGTGACAGATTTCTACCTACTTTTTTTTTTTTCTACCTACTTTTATTTATTTAGTTATTTATATTGTTTTTCTCAAAATGGCATAATAAGCATTCATGAAACCAAAACAAAAAAAATAAAACTAGACTGCTGCCAAGCAGCTAGAGTGAACCCCAGGTTACTTCCTGTCTGTGTGCTCCCTCCACCCCAGTGTGACCACCGCTTCATCCGTCTCTCATATAGTTCCCCTGGGGTTCTATGTGTGATTTAAAACAGCCGATCATCCTTAGGAGTTGCTTTGCACTTTATAAGGCGCGCAGCATGGTCTATACGTACATCAGGAATCGCTCTTTCCTCTAATATATTGTGAGGGCCCACCCAGCACTGTGGATCATAGAACACTGCATTAAACCATGGAATAGTATCCCCTCTGCTATGTGAACACAGTGCAGTTCATCTATCTGACCTGTAAAAGGGCATTTTGGGTTTTCGAACTATTAAGGCATCCTCACCAAGTGCCAGGCAATGTCACAAACCCTGGGCATACATTATCACATGTGATTCCAGGACTTGCACAATAGAAGTTTTCAGTTCTATTTTTTTTTTTTTTTTTTTTAGTTAGGGAAAGGTCTACAGGGTATTCAGAAAATAAATGGAATAATGTTAATTGCTCTTAAAATGTAACCTTTCTGGAGACTGTCATTTTTTTTTTTTTTTTTTTTTTTTTTAGTTCTATTTTTCTTTGAGAAAACTGAAATTTAAAGACATTAGGTCACCTGCCTGAGACCACAAAGCTACTACGTGAAGCAACAAATGAAGGTAGAAGGCTCCTTGTCTTCACAGGATAGGATTGGCCCTCCCCTAGAAGGGCACACAACCTCCTCTATTCATTCATTCACTCATTTACTCTGAAGATCAAACTCAGGGCCTTCAGCATGCTAGGGATGAGTGCTACCTCTGAGCTACAAACCTCCAGGTCTATCTTATTTTATGTATCTGCATAATAAATGATGGCTTTTAAAAATGGTACATGGCTACAGCAGAAAAAGTATAACTCCTCATTTGACAGCCCCATGAAAGATTTCTTAGTTGAATTCCAGGCACCCAATATTCTTTATATTCTTTAAAACACACACACACACCATGTAAAACAGTGTTTTCTTATGAGCCAATTTAATAAACACCTCCGTGAGCTGCAGCACTTGCCAGTCTGCAAAGCATGCTGCTTCAGGGTGTCAAGGTTAAGTAAAGTGTTCCCTCTAACAGGACAGAGAAACTGTCTGTACAATCTCTTCATGAAAGTCAGGCATAAGGGAAGTGCTTGAAAATTGCGTATTTTAGAGGGCTTGAATGAAAAGGTGATTCGACTGTGTTATCAGATACTGTCCCTAATGGCTGATACAGTGCATCTAAGTGATAGGTAGGGAGGCAGGCAAGGATGGTCATGGTTATAGGACAACACTGACCTGAGGGTGAAATAATTTGGCTTATCATTACACTGACATTGTAAACCACAAGTGGATTTTGAGATGTTCAGCTTTCTTTGCAAGTAAAAATTAAATCACTGGGTCCTTCCCTATCCCTGGAGGTATCCTGACTACTGTGACACAGTGGCCATAGCTGCAGAGATACACAGACCCTGAACCAGGTAAAAGGGATTATGAACTAGGTTGTTCTTAAGAACTTTGCTAACAAGGCCCATAGATATCGTAACTTCTGATTATGATCTTTATTTACGGAGTTCCTACATACATGTAATAGTCAAATTTATTTTGAGGTTTCCAATATACCTATGTCACTAGTATCATCAGGTAATTTATTTGAATTTAGGGAGAACACCAAAAAAGAAGTGGCTTCTCAAATAAGAAAGCCTTTTTTCATTTGCTTGTACTGAGGACTGAACCCACGGGCTTCATATGGGCTTCACACTGACTATATTGCTAGCCCTTCTTATTTTAAGACAGGAGTTTCCTAAGTTGTCCAGGTGGAACTCAAATTTGCAGTGCTCCTACATCACCATCCCTGTGTTGGGATCAGTGCTGTACATGGCCACGGCCAGTTAATACAGCCTCTTTGAAGATAGGGGAGGCTGGTTTCATGATTTCAGAGTGAGTCAGGCATAGTGGTGCACGCCTGTAATCCCACACTTGGGAGGCAGAAGTAGTTGGCCATGAGTTTGAGACCAACTTGGACTACATAGCAAGACCCTGTCTCAAGAAACAAAAAAAAAAAGTGGAATGGTTTCAAAATACATTTAATTGTCAGTGTAGAGCCAGTTCTAGAAAAATCTAGAAATCTACTTAATATTCATTTGAACTTTCTAAAATGCATTTACTGTTTTAGTAATACACTTATGGATGGTTATTTGGAGGTAATCCACATATTTTCAAACAGTTCCTTCATTGAGGACAGGTATGAGACACTCTATGTAGTGTGTCTAATACATTGTGTACTGTAATACACAATCCTTGTGTAGTATAATCTGCTTTTCAAGAGGTATCTTTTCTTTAAAACTCATTAAAGTTTTAAATTATGAAGTACACAACACATAGAAAAATATAATGTTATTTGTACTTTCAAAAATGATAATGAAAGGCACACCCATATGATTGGCACCCACACTGAGAAATAGAGCTCTGGTTCCACAGTATTGCAACCTGTCAGACCAAGCCTTATACAAAACTCAGTGTTTTGAATTTCATGCCTTTTCATTTCTTTGCTTCTCCTTATTGCTTCATTATTTACTATACTGCTTAGTTCTGTTTTTGAACTTCATCTAAATAAAACCATATGTAGGCACATATATGTGATTTTTCCCCTTGATATGCTTGTTATGAGCCATGCACTTTCACTTTCTTAAGGGTATATACCTGGCACTGGTCTTGCAGGGTGATGTAGCCTTGGTTCAGTTTTACAAGAGTGTGTAAACTGCTTTCCAATGTAATCATATCATTTTACACTCTTACAAGCAAAGGTTAAGAACATCTATTGATCCATACCCTGGCTGACCTTTTCTTTGTTGGACTTCCAAGTTTTTGCAGGTTGGGAGTATGAATGATATTTTCTCATAAAACAGCCATTCATTTCTAATTCACTCAAACGGTTGTTCCAGTCTCTAGCCTGGAATTTTATTGGTTTTCTGTCTTTTATCCATTTGTAAAATTACTTTGTATATTCTGGAAAGCCATATAGATGGTCTTCTTCCATTTTGTGGCTTTTTACTGTCTGACAATATATTTTGATAAACAGAGGCTCCTAATTTTAGTGTAGGAATTTTCATTAATGACTTTCTCCTTTTGGGTCTTGCTCAAATGTGGAGGGTCCCCTAGGTGCCTCTCCTTGAAACTCTCCTTGTCACCATCCTGGCTGAGTCTGACCCTATTTGTATGTATTGATATGTACAGAGCTGGCTAAGACTTTTCCTTATCCCTTCATTTGGCTTTGAGCAATGTATATCAGCTCAGTTGAGGTGTTGGTGGGAGTCTCTGAAGATGGCAGGCAGGTGTGTTTTCCAGAACCGCTCACCTGCTGCTCCTTAGTGTGAGCTAGGTCGAGATGGGATGAAGAGCCAATGCGCCACACTGTCAGATGGTGCCTAACCTTGAGAAACTATTACTTCTTGGGGCTTGAAAGATTACACATCACAGGTGAACATTAGATACTATCTCAGTTGTGTAATGCAAATTATTCTTTCCGCGTACCTTTTCTCTGCATATCGCAGAGATGATTTTGGCCTCCTACCCACCTATCCCAGCTCATGGCTCTCCCCTACTTCCTGCCAGTCTCACAGTCACTCATCCTCAAGCCACTCCTTTCTTCATGAATGAATAAAACCCAGATTTGACCTTGGGTCCAGGCTTTTGTTCCAGATAGCCATCACCATATCATGGCTGGACTTAGGACCCCTTGGCTGCCCATAACTATACATATGCCTTAGTGTCTTTATTCTTGCTGTGATTTGTACCGGGTGTAGGAGATTGGAATTAACTTGATGGGATTTCAATAACTTATCCATGGGATAACAAATACAAACTTCCCAGTCCAAGAAGAGGACCTGAAGGGCTCTCTATACTCAACAGCCTATTTCTCCCCATTTTCTGCTAACTGGCATGCAACTGTCAGCTCTGATGTGTACTGTGGGTGTATTGGAACTTTATCCTCTCTGAGGCCACACTGTCAGTCACTAAAGTTTTATGATAAGTCTTGCTTACCTGGTAGGCAAAATGGAGCTCACACTGAAAACACCTTTAGTTTTAAAAACAACATAAGGAAAATTGAAACTAGAACTTACTTTGCTCTGGATTGATGAACTAATCCAGGAATCTCTTTATTAGTTTTAAGTCTTACATTTGAGCTGGCATTTTTTTCCTGCAACACACAAGCATACATATGGAAAAGACAAGATCAGAATCTTAATTTAAACAGTAGCATGAATTTTCATAACAAATGTTAGTTGGAGCTTTTGGGGGCCTTGTACCATGGCTAGTTACATCACAGGGACAGAAGTCTTCACAACGATGTTCTACAGTACAGGCTGAACCCACAAGATATTCTAACAGGGAACACTGGAAAAGAGGAATTAAATTTTCAACGTCTATAATGGTTTAGAAGGCAATGGATGACTAATATGTAATTGTTCAATTATAACACAGAATCAAAGAATAGAAGATTGTTGTATCAAAAAAGAGAAGTAGCAGTATATTCATAGCCTTATCCACTTGCCCAAGCTAACTGATTTCAGTGACAATTTTCACCTGTCAAAAACAGTGGTATTGATTTAGAATGAATTAATGAAATCAGTACTAGCCTGGATTCAAGAAGGGATTCTTTGGCATTTTTACCTTCCCTTATTTCTTATTCCCAGTTATATTGGTCACATGGGAAGAAAATACTCTCAAATCTTAAATGCAAATATGTCAGTAAGCTCATAAGCTCAACACTACTGTTCTTATGATGCTTTTAATGAAATATTCAGAAGGACTTAATAATTTGGATGAAAATCTAGCCCTCAAATGAAAGGAAACACTACTCTAAGTCTACTTAGAAGGCAACTATTATATACTCCAGGAACTTAAAGGGTGGCTGTAATTAGTGTCTATGAAGAATAAAAACTGCTACGGGGAAACTCAATATTCTCACCCCATGTGGAGTAAATTGGGAAGACACATAAAACAGATGGTCCCCAAATGGGCTCTTTAATGCTCATATTTCTCGTAGGACAGCAGAAGCCAGTTAAGTCAGTGAAATTCCAATCACGTATACGCTGTGGTGGTTTGTTATTTACCATGTGCCTATCTGCATTGCATTAGTACAAAAAGGTAATTTTTTATGTTCTAGGAAAAAAAATCACAATTCTTTTGCAGTCAATTTTATATTCCCTGCCTCACACTAAAATTAAGATGTTTTCATGAATAAGTATGAAGTATAAGATATGACTGTCCGTTAGCCCATATAAGCAGGTAGCAACAGATTAACTACCTTTCTTTTACAAAACACATGGAAAATTAGCAAACTCTAATGGAGTCAATCTAGAGGGTCAGGGTCAGGTCCTTCTTTACCACTGAGTTGTGCTGCCTGGCATGGGGGTGATGCATCATGGGAAGAACTCAGCAAATAGTGGTGGAACAATTCAACGATGCCAACACATGATTAACCATACTTTAGAAATCAGAGATGAAAAGAATAGCTCTACTATAGTCTCTGCAAGACTGTAAATAAAGGTTCCTTTCAAGTTGTTCATTTTCTTCCTTATACTGTATGTCCTCTTTGGTTAAATACTGAAAAGGGCATATATGATAGGCCAGAACCTTTTCCTTTTCTTTTGTCCAGAGAGTTTACATCTCTTATAAACTCTTTGGGCTTAAATGATACACCATAATTTTCAACATTGTTGAGGTAGCAAAGTCACTCCTAAATCTAAGAATACAAACGACATGTAATAGTAGTCTATTTATATTTAAATTCATCAAACTATCCTTCATAATTACATTGCTTCATCAAATCTTCCTTAAAATCCTGAGTAGTTAGAAAAGAAGGTCCTCTTAAGCAGTGGGGATCAAAAGATAAAGAGGAGAGAGAACAAGTATCTTCAAATTTTCCAGTTTATTTAATTCAAGGTGTTTTTTTTGGGGGGGTGGAGCAGAACCAGGGATTGAACTCAGGTCCTTGCGCTTGCCAGGGAAGTACTTATTCCACTGAGCCATCTCCCAGGCTTGCTTCCAGTTTAAATATAGATGCATACTACTAAACCTTCATTATGTATTTGTATTTATTCATTTTTATAAACTGTCACTGACCAAGAGCAGTCATGATAACTTATTGAGCACTTACTATGTTAGGTGCTATTTTCAGTATTTTACATATATTAACTCATTTAATTCCTACAGTACCGTCCTAAGATGGGTACCACTGTCCACATTTTATAGATGAACAAGCTAAGGCACTGAGAGGTAAAGTATTCACCTGGAATAACACAAGTAATATTGTAAGTGGTAATACTGGGATTTGAATCTAAGCAGTTTGGCCCTAGTGTCTATGCTATTAGATACCAGGCCAGCAGTTCTTAAACATTTTAGCATCAAGACCTTTTTACTTGCATTATTCAAATTGACTCATTTTATATACAATATGAAAAATGTCACATTTGTTGAAATTCTCATCCATCTTTTCCAAAAACTTCTTTTTCCAGTAACAAGAATTGATCCTCAGGCCTCTGATATGCTACAAGCGCTCTACCACTGAGCTATATCCCTAGCCTTTCAACAAATGTATACATTTTAAATTTTGAGATAGGGACTGGTTAAATTGCTCAGGCTGGGTTTGGACTTGCAATCTTCCTGACTCATCCCCTACCCTAAGAGGCTAGTACTCTATTCTTACCACGTCCTGACACATCAGCAATCTCTCTCTCTTTTCTTTAATGGTTAAAAAAATTTTGATTTTATTGTTTTTGCTAAACAATGCTTAAAAAATTTTTTTTTCATTTTGAAGGCAGGGTTTGAATTATTTAATTTTGATCCATTCATTTAATTAAAAAAAAAGGGAGGGGGCCTGCCCCTTAGCTCAGCTCTTTAAGTGGCTGCTTCAACAAAGCAGTCAGGCTCAGGTTGCTGTGGTTCGAGCCCCACAACTCAAGCCAGCCAAACCTGCCCTGAAGGCATTCGGAGCAAAACAAAAAAGATAAAGAGATTATGGCCAAAAAGAATACTAGTTAACCCACCCCACCCCCAAGGCACCAGCCAGACCCACACGCAACCCCACACCCACGCGGGCGGCGTGCCAATCATGCTGCGGCTCTCAGCAGGTCAGTCACATCAGAGTCCAGTCGCCTCCCCGGCTGCTGCCCACTGGGAGCACATACAAGCTGTCGTGAGCTTGTAAGCTGTCACTTTTGGGCTGCGGCATGGCTGAGGAGGGTGGGGCTTGGGACCTGGCTGGTGCTATCTCGTGGGGTGGGCAGCCCAGTGTCCTGGGAGGATGAGCTCCGCAAGTGCAGCCCTGCAGCTCTTCTAGTATCATGGAAAGGCGCGAGGGTTGAGAGGGGCCAGGTGCAGCCTGCAACCTGCTGGTGCCCCAGGACCCCTGGGGCCAAGCCCCACCTCGGTGGCCCAAGCCTAGGTGGTGGCTGGTGGGGCAACAGGAATGGCAACACATTGTGTTTCAGGGGTAAGAGGTGGAAAGAGTGGCCATGATCTAGTAAAGAGAGATCTGCAAGAAGCAAAACATATTTAGAGAACATTTTAATATATATTTTCATATATATATGTGTGTATATATGTATATATATATATA